ATGGCATAATTATCCTCAGTAAACATCTCCCCTTCACGCTCACTTACAGTTATCCTTCAGGTTGTTTTTTTTTCCCCTTTCCTTAAAAACCAGTGACTACAGTAGAGGCTCTCCATTCATGGGGTGCCATCCTCAGGCTGGGTACTAGAACAGCTTCTTTCCATTAGATCTGAACAATTAACGATTCCAGGAGACCAAGCACTTGGTTTCTATAACTTGCACACACTTTTTTTCACTTCCACATTGCTAGGTTATTTCTGTTTTTCTCAGTATATCTCCCTCTCCACCCCACCCACCAACGTTGAACATTGCCATCTTTATTAGGAGCAAGCAGCAGGGTGCTGGGCGCAGGTTTGTGATCAAGCCTGGCTCTCCACCACACAGTAGTTTCATGTTATTTTTTCCCTCTTACTTAAACTTTTAAAAACTTCTGCAGTTATTTTAATCTCTTTGAAAGATAGCTGACTGGTAGCATTTCTTAACTCTACCCTTAACTGTACCCATTTTTAGTAAGTCAAACCAAACAGCCTTTCTTGTTCAGCAGCCTTTTCTATTTCTTGTTGTTCTGCTATTTCCTACTATTCTTCATGAGGTGCTCATTATCCTACAGCTGATTTCCTCTGGCTTAGGATACTTCTCTGATAATTTTAGCTTGGTCAAACAGCAGGATTTTATGGTGGAGTCTGAAATACCTTATTCAAAACGGTGAGCTCCTCAGTGAAATTAACTTGTCACTAGCTAGCAATGGTAAGGACTAATTTCATTTTTGAAATGAAGAACTTCTGTTTACAGAGTCTTAAAGCGTCAGTTCAAACTGAAATCAGGACAAGATCTCTTAAGATGAGGTTTTTTCAATGACTAGCTCAGACAATGCGTTGAACTTCTCACAAAAGCCAACTATAGCGTAGAACTACTTTGTGCTGGCTCTGCAGCTATCATACCAAAAAACTTCTTCAGCCCACACATCCAACAATATCTGGGCTCTATAGATTCCTGCTCCCTCTTGCTGGCCATGAGTGCAAATTTTTTTCCCCTGACTGTGTGCTAGAGAGACTTTATTCTACTTACAGAACCTACTTGGCTATAAGAAGATGCGTTAGTAAGAAGATAAGAAGAGATTCTGCTGTCTACCTCTGCCCATCCTAGATCTCTTCCTAAAACCAAGGGAAAGTTGAGCTGCTGAAAACTTCAAGAAAATGTAATTAACAGGCCAATTCTTTAAAATAAATAAATAAAAATGCTGCCTTTCAGGGTGGTTGGGAATTACACATCTTGCAGAACCAGCTAGACACTGAATCTTCAGAAAAGCACCACGGCAAGGAGATCCTGTTCACTATCTAACCTGCAGATGCCCCCCATCATTAAATAGAAACAAATAGTTACTATAGCATTCAATGACCAGAAGAAACTACTGGCAGTTCATCTGTTCAAGGATCAGACTTGATCACCTGTCGTGTTGATCTGGGCTGGGGTTTATTTGGTGCACTAATTCAGAAAGCATGGAGCTAGACATCTGGGATAGCACATTGCCACCAAAACTGGGTTTTGCCTTTAAAGAAACAGATTATTTATACCAAATGCCAGAAAGTCCAGCCACAGAAAAATCACTGCTCAGAGCCAGGTAAACCCCCCAAAATAACCCTCAGGGTTGAGTATGCTGGAAAATACAACCAAAAACCCTGGCCTAGGGAGTACAAGACTGAAACAGGGAAGCCAAAAAGGCCCACTAGCCTGCCGCTGGGACAGAGTGTTAATTGTGCTGCAGATTTCGGGACGTAGCAGAAGAAACAAGATGCCGAGCAGAATCTGATGCCTCATTATAGAACATGGAAGAACAGGACTGAAGAGATTTAAATACTCATTTTGTTACCCCAAGTGACCTCTGCATCGTGCTACAGAAGACATAAGTGCACGAGATCATAGTGTAGCCATGGGTCTCAAAGCATGCCCTGATAAAGTGCTTGGTGTGTCTCCCAACACACTCTGCTCAGGCTACCGGAAGCAGAAAAAAAGAAAGCCAAAATATTACTTTTTTCCTGAACACTGGCCTATTAAGAATGTTCAAAGGCTTCCTTTTGGCAGATTACCAGCTGCACATAAATTTCTCATTCTTCCTCTCCCAAATAAGCTTTTTTTCTAAGAAGTAATCTTATTAATGAGTAGGAAAGGACATGCTTGTAGTATTAAAAAACACCCAAAACCATACCAGCCCATCAGTCTTTAAAGCTTCCTGCAAAATGTTTTGCCTGAACATGGTATCAGCTTCACTATGTGTGATCTCAGCATCTTGAACCTTTCTCAGCTTGGTAGATAATGGAATACTTCAAGCCGAAACAGGTATCGAAGAAACCCATGGCATGTTACCAATACCTCTCTCCCCTTTCACAATATTGGAGAATCTTCAGCATTTAGACTAGGGGTTTGGACCATAAGAAATAGAAGGAAAGGTTAAGGCAATTCTCAGCCTCCATGTAACTGTGGAAATTGGAGAAACCCATCCTGACCACAACTGGGACAGACTGCTGCCTCCAAACAGGAACGCCATACCCAAAATCCAGAGCCTGCTGCCTTCAACCAGGAACATCATACCCAAAATCCAGAGCCTCAAGTCTCCTTTTGTTAAATTGCTTGGCAAGACTGAAAAACATCACAGTAAAGGATATTGTTCATTTATAGCTCAGCCAGATCTTGAGAGGAGATAGTCTTCACTTTACAAATCAACCTCTTCCATTTCAAAAGGATGTCCTTCATTGTGGAGGCACTAACTGCTACCCTTAAGGAAATAAATGGATTGCTTTTGTCTTCCACCTCAGCATGCTGCCAGGCATTTAGATGATGCAGGTTATCCATAAAAAAGACTAGAAGTCTCATCTACAGCAGCTGATGGTCACTTCTTGATTGATATGAAACACGGGCATCGCTTGTAACATGACAAGATGTACAGTCTGCAGAAAAGACTCGGTTTCTATATAGGAGGTTATGGCCATATTTGTTGATGTTTCCCCATCTGGTTACAGTCAGGTTGTATAACTGGATCCCCAACCTATATTTTATGATCTTACTGCTATGCAAGATATTGCTAGAATTAGACAGGTTTAACAAGATCTTTACCCAAACTTTCAACTGTTGAGGAAAGCTCCTATAACCCTGCCCCACCTCCACCAATGTTATACAAACCATACTTTCAAAGTCCTCTTCTCAGCACACCCACAGGCAGGAATCAATGCAGTGAGAGAACAGTTATTAAAATAGCGTTTACAGGCAGCAAGTTTATACTTACTATGAGTCACATCCTGCTCTTGGTTTGATGTCTGAAGGCACCTGCGATACGAGCCCTGAACCGACACCTCTCTCGGATTCTGAGCTCAAGGCTGCAGAAAGCAGTCAGGGAATGCAGACCAGGACTCCAAGCTGCACCAAAGCAATCCGTCCCTGCCACCATTTCTGACCCTCAGAGAGCTGGAAGGCTTCTAAAGCCATGCCAGAGCAAGCTTGAGCATGAAAGCCAGCCTACAGGTGCATGCACCGGACAGAGTCCGCAGGGGCCAGCCAGGAGGCTACAACTGCCTGCATCAGACAGGTCTCCCTGTAGTCAAAATAGGTTGGTTGATTGTAGATTTCTGAAGTGAGCGACCATGGCTAACAAACAGCTGAAGCTCCCCATGGCTCTTTCTGGAGCATCTTCTTCATAACAGACCATCAGGGACTCAGATCTTACGCTGGCACCTGTCCCTCTGAAATGACGCTTCCCGTAAACAGAGGCCCTCCTGTTGTAGAACAGCTGCTCCCCTCCCAGCCTAGTTTTTTGGGGAGTGTGGATTTTTCCACCACTCCGCTTAGGCCACAGAACACAGAAAGGGCTGAAATCTCAAGAAACCACAGCTCTAACTAGTACTTAGAGAAGCAAAAGCAACAATTTCCATGCCCTACAATTGTTGTGTAGCTACCGTGCATTTCCTTACCGTGCATTTCCTCAGGGCTGATAAGAAATCTACCCCTTCATCTCTGCTTTGGACTTTTATGCATTTCCGTAAAGGAGGGAAAAGCAAGGTTGCCATTCTCAAAGATACCCTTGCCCTTCTGCTACGATGCTGTGAATAGTCTGCCACAGAAAAACAGAGGCTGTACGACTTGGGTTTCAGCAACGCTGCTCCCCAGGGTGATGTCCTTTCCCCTTTTGAGTTGGTGATGCTTCAACTCTTGCCCCATGAGGAAGGAAGAGATCCGTTACTGCTTAACTGATAGCCAATTACTCCAGTTACTGATGCAAGTTCTCTCATTATCTGCCTCCACCTGCTCTTGGCACATCACTTCTGTTCTTGGGAATCCCTAAATCTGCCACTTCAGAAAATGCTGAGGGAAGCAGACCCTTTCACCAGTAAGTGCAGGAACACTGGTCTCTGATATACCTGTTCAGAAGCATCAATAACATATGCTTACTGAAAATGGAACCTTTTAAGACAGACCTCCCTGGATAATCCCACTGTATTTACAGTTTCAGGGTGGCTGATACAATCATGTTTATATATCTGTGATCTCTAAGTGTTGAATATGAGTAGAAGTTGTGGTCCCTCCAGCATTCTTTGTGAGCTTTCTTTAAAGCACTCAGTCACACATCAAAACCTCATGCCTAGCATCTCCAACAAAAACTTTTTAACAGAAAGTCTCTAGGACATGAGGCAATCTTCTAGGAAGTGACAGGAAAAGAAGATTGACAGGAATGTAGATGGTGTACTGTTCAAATATGAAAAGTTTAAACCAATGCTCTGATGGTAGAGGCTGAAGAACATTTGTGGTTGTGGGGTGGTGGTGTTTTTTTGGGCAGGGGGGTTTGTGTGGTGGTGTTTTTGGTTTTTTTGTCTTGCAGAACACTAAAAAAACAACACTTGGAAATTGCACTCCTTTTACAAGAGACCCTTAGAAAAGGGTTAATTTTTTTACATTCAAATACAAAGCAGCTTTCTAATTTTATATAATCAAGAAATGGAAAACAATTTTTATTAACATGTTTTACATTTACAATCTTTTATTAGCTAATCAACATCAACATGCAAAAATAAGCGCTAAATACAAACCTCTACAATATGGTTTTGTTTAAACTACAATGGTTTAGTTCTTTTGAAAAGTCGTAAGGATGTGTTCTGTAGTTGTTAAAATTGAACTATTAGTTTCAGTAATGAATACTATTTAGACCCTAAAATTATGTAATCATCCTGCAAGGCATCTTCAGAAACTTCGCCCAACACTTAAGAATACCAGCTCATTTTCATGTGAGTACATTCTCAAAGCAAGAAATAAGGCAGTAGCACTAATGATTTCATATTGAACCCTATGCACATAACTAATAACTTTAGAAGGACTTTAACACTATGGTAGACTGGAAAAAGAACATTTAAACAAGCATTGGATTTTGCCTGAAATGTTCTCAGTTCCTCTTGATACTTATGCAACCTCCTTAAAATATTTGGGTTTGGAAAAAGACCATACTCCTTCAAACCAGTCCCTAGTTGATCCTCCAGAGAAGCCAGTCTTGTGTCAAAGACATCAATATCTTCCCACAGAAATAAGTTACATAATTCATGTTCAGGATTACTTCACGAGAGGATCATAAAGAAGGCAAAGAGGAGCTTAAAGGAGAACATATTGGTAGTACTGAAATCTCTGATAACAAAAGGGTCTTGGACAATTGAGAAAAAGAGGGAAGAAAAATGGATTTAATTTCAAATCTGTTGTAACTTTTCCCCCAGTGCAAGTGTCCATCTTTAAAGAAAGTTATCCTTTAGAAGATGAAAGTACTTTTGAGAACAGTCCAATTTTTGACCTTGTTACAAAACCTTAACAATCAAAATTTGTTTTTGTTTTTATTCAAGTACAAACTTAAGTCATAATTCCTCTCTCTTTTTTTTTTTTTTTTTTCCCCCAAAGAGTGTTTATTGTTGCTCATTGATCTTTGGTCGCAAGAAACAATAATGCCACCGACAGGTCTGATCCCCAAGGTGGCAGGTTTTGCTTCTTTGCCACACATTAAGGCCCCCCCCTTTACAGGGTATGCCAATATACACTGTGTCAAAACTCCAGCGGCACTTCATCATGTGTTTTATGGACCTACATGATGTAGACTTTCTCAGCTTGTGAGAAGTTGAAGACTTCTTTGGTTCTTGGGCAAATTACTTTGTCATCTTGACGAATAGAAAGCAGAGACTGAAAAAGAGTGACATCAAAAGATAAGTCACAATAGTAACTCAAAGCATTAACTGTTTAGTAAATAAACTTTTTTTTAATTAAAAAAAGATGTTATAGTGTGAGGTCAAAATATCTTTGCCCACAAAAGTTACTTACTCTACATTATCGCTCTCCAGAGGGAAAGATTTCCAGTGCCATTTAATTTCATGTTATAAATTAATATATTCAATCAGACATTAGCTTCTTTAAAGACCAGTTTAACCACATAAATATACAAGTCCTTTAAAAAATTACTGCAAGGAATTACTTTCCTTCTGTTAATATAGAAGATACTTCTAGCTTTTTGACTGAGTTTATAAGCTCTTATTTCGATATAGAAAGTTGTTATAACCACTGCTATTTTAGACCTCAGTAAGTCAGTGATTTCAACACTTACATTGTATCCATAGACATATCCATTTGGTAGCATCATAGGAGGATTATTTTCGTTCATTACATCTCCTGAAATCTTGCAGACTAGTCGGGAGTTGGCACAGTGTGCCATAGGCAGAGGCTGAGCCAGCTTGTTCAGGGATTTGCTACACACCGGGCAGTCTGGGTTTTTTGAGCTCCCATCCTCTTTATAACACTGTCTGTTTAACAGAAAAGTTAAGGAACAACCACCACAGAATGCAACAACAATTAGTTAATGACATACAGTGGAAAAAAGATAGAAAACTCTGCAAATACAGCCTTGGTTATGGAATGCACAGGACCATTTAATTCAATTTTGATGTGTACATGTTAGATTCAAGTGCTTGCTTTGTGTCAAGGAACAATGGTGAGCAACAAGTGTCTGGCACCCTCTACAGGTCAAGTTTCTGATGCAGAACACTTTAGTAGCACCAGTCCTTCACTAATACAGCATAGCGTGTGGCAAATCCAACTACATTTCAAAAGATGCAGGATATATTTGAATATTCACATAAAAACAGACAGGGCAAGTTTGTGTGTAAGTGCTTAAAAAAAAAATCCTGACCCAGCTCACTAACTTTTGTAGATATGTTCACTAACTTAAGACACATAGAAAGATAGCCTAGTATGCAAACGCAATGTAGATTTCACCTTAAAATCTGGGTTTGGGCTGCTTGTGTGTGGTGTTTTTTTTTTTTAAACCATAATGCCATTTATTATAATCTCCCCTTAATTTAATACAGAGACCAATTCATACTCCACTTAAACAACTCATGAGCAAAAATATTCAAGTGTCACATTTCCTCTTTGAGCTCTCTGAAAAGCATCCATAGAATGAAAAAACCCACAAGGGTTTTTTACACTCAACAGTAGCATCTGCATTAAAGGATACGGTGTTTTTATAGCTGAAAGGCCTGCCTGGAGTGTTATAGTAAAAACAGAATTGTTTCCCAGCTGATGTAGTCTGTAGTTATCATATCTAAACTGTTGGATCAGCATTCTCCATCGAGCAGGGTCCAAGAGATCCTGTTAAAGAACACCACAACTGTAAGTTGTTTGCAATCTAATTACCGCTCCCAGGCTTTTGCCCCCTGGGACAAATTGTGCAAAACTCACTAGACTGAATCCATCACAAAATAAAAGTATACATGCTAATGCACAGTATGAATGTACTTGTTTAGAGAGTACCTTTTAACACTACTTTACTAGAAATACGATTTAAATCAAGTATTACTTAAAATGCCTGGCATAATGATATTCAATCTCCCTCCCTCATCTACCAAATGTTCTATCTGAGGTACATAAATCCTGGTAAGGCTATTTCTTGTATTTCGTTTTCTAGAATGCTGGCCTACTTATGAAGCAACATTAGTATTGTGGTATGTTTGCTCTATAGCCTCTGAACCATTAACATCAAAAAGTCAGAGGCCTTTTTTTTACCTCAAATCAGGCTAATTCTGCTGATACCTCTTTGTAATAGGTAAAGTTTACAGAATTTTGTAAATAGGTTTTAATTTGAAGACCTGGCACAACCCCAGGTTAGAGAAAGCTTAGGTAAGCCATGCTTTTAAGGACAAAATTCTTTAATACATATTCTAATGCTGTGTGTTACCTAAATAAACCAGGGAACAGTAGTTAAAGTAGGGATGTGTTTTTCATGGAAGCAAGAACTAAACCCACAGGTCAAGGATATATTAAATCCTAAAAATAATGCTGCAAGAGTCATGTAAGTAAAGTCCCTTTAAAAATATACTTGGTATGCTACATTTACAGGCAAAAAAATTCTTTCTTCTGCTAGCACCCCTTCTCCTTTGTATCCATAATGCGATTTTGGTCATGAGAAGTGACAATATTTATCTTAGAAATAAGTTCATATTATCAACTGTGCATGCTACACTTTGAGGCAACTAGGAGAAACAATAATATATTTTAGTATTTTGTTTAGTTTATAAAACAGGCTTTTAAAGAAAATCAAAGACTTAGTGACAGACAGACAATACACTGAGTAGCAGCATCAAATTCAAAACATGTTATACCAGAATTACTAGGCAGCGATATTACCATGACGTAGACACTAGTCTTTATGCTTTGCTCTCTACCACATCAGCCTACTGTGCCTCTCCTCAGTTCCCTGTGCATTCAAGTAGACACTGGAGAAGGATGGACCCCAGCATTACCTTTTGTCATAGCCTGTACCCTTGAATTCCCCCAGCCCAAGATGATCAGGCTGGCCTGAGAACTTTTATCCAAGAGCACCATTTCTGCCACCAGACTGCATGTCTGTTTGCTCTATCACCTGCCCTGTTTGAAGCCAGAATGTTCCCAGAGTTCCAAGATGGAGCTTTTGTTCTGACCTTAAGGCAATTCTTAAGAGGTAACAGACCGAGCCTACAACAGATCCCTAACAAAAAGATAAAGTACAACTAATGATTAAGAAAAGCTTATGATTAAGGGCCTAGGTGATGGGACACAAAAGTGACAGCTTAGTAGATGTCCACTTGGAATAATTCCAGCCACAGCTACACAAGCTTGTTCAAAGGATAGCAAAAGAAAATAGCTTGTTTTGCCACAACATTAACTATGTTTTCCTTAAAGTCCTAAAAGATAGGACAACAAGCTGGAGAAAGTTGTATTCATTGGTTACAGAGGCTCCTTCTTCCCTTGGATTAATAAAAATCAATTGATCAGAGATATTATGACCTGACAAACTTTCTCACAGATTTAAAAGTAATTTTACTTAAAGCCATTTTAAGAAGCCATTTATGCACAGAACTCCTAGTGAACATCTTAAAAGTATCTCCAAACAAGCGGGCACTCTATGATTCTGTTTATCTAGGTAATTATTAGAGGACCCAAACAATAACTTCCATAAACTAGAATGTTTTAAGTCAGATCCATAAAAAGTAGTAGGGAATTTGTTCCAATTGTATGGTTGTACATGAAACAACATTAGTTTTTCTCCTTGCTCTCCCTCATTGAAACATTCTGTCCAAACTAGCCCTTAAAATAAAATACGGGACTTTTACTTCCTCTTTCTTTCTAACTACTAAACCACTGATAAGTTCTGTCTTACACCCACTCCTCCAACACATCTATCCTTTATGCTCTTAACTCACATCAAGTGTAGAATCCAAAATACCAGGATCCTTCTCCTCTAGGATCAGCAATGAATTCTGTGGGTTGTTGGTTTGGGTTTTTTTTTTGTTTGTTTTCTTTAACCATTGATTTCATCATCAATTGTTTAAAAAACATGTTTATACTGGCATTGCCACATATTGGCTTGGCATTTCACAGGATTTTTGTCTTGCTTTGCCAGCTCAACTCTTGTCTACCTTCTGCCCCCAGTGACAAGTTAAAAAGAAAAAAGTGAAGAGAATTAGCACATGATCACAGAACTCAAAGTCTGTAGGAACAGTAACTACCTATGAATTTTGCTTCATTCAAATTTAGATGTAGATATTACCAGTAACATCTACATTAATTTGTATAATCCAAACGAACACTTACTTTTAAGCAAAAACACTGCTTTCAGATCATTCAAATCATCTTTTCTTTCTTCATCCCAACCACCACAAGAACAGTAATTTGAGAAGTAGAATTCAGAAACTCTGCTAGTGTATTAAGGCCACAGCCTAGTACATTGAAAATAATAAAAAACCCACCCCCTCTCATTTTTTCTTTGTACTTCTCCATCTTCTGTCTCTTGCTGTATATTTCCGTATCATGCTTCCAGTCCCACAGACCTTTAGTGTTGGGTTTGTGGTAAGCCTAGCTCAGTGGGAATCTGTCCATTACTATTAAGATCCAGCTGCAACAATACAAATACTGCCTGGATTAATCTACACGCAAGGGCTGGTTATTAAAAGTAAGGACTATTATAAAGGTGGATTTTCGAACGTAGAATTAGAATAACATTCGATCTTCACATTATCAATCCATTTTCCTGTAAGAAAAAAGAACTGCAACATGTATTTCATTATTCTGCTGTACCACTGAATTTCAAACATACCTTATAGGGGGAGATATGAGTGTCTGAAGGAAAGGCCAACATTCCCATCACTTGTCGAACCTCATCCAGCTGGCTTCCCTCAGCCTGACTGAAATGCTTTCTTGCATGTCTGAAATACAGAGTTTATATCTTTATTATATAGCCAGGTTTCTAAATCAAGTAAATTTACATAGTTATGTAAGATTTCAGAGAAAAACCTCTGGATTCTGCTCTTAATACATGAGCTCCAAAAGGTGGTGTATTTAAAGGGCTTGAAAAAACACATCCTGCAAATGCAAGAATGACTCTAAGAATTAGCAATTTTACACTGTAATTTCTTAGAAACCAGAACTTCTTACTGTAGCATGAAGTCTTACCTCACCTCCATCTAGAATGACAGATCCATGATTATTAGAAGAAACGTCTCTGCTTGTGCAAGCTCAATGTATCACACTTACTCCTTTGGCATACACTCGCAAGTGAGATAAATGCAGTCTGATAATCAGCTATTCCAAACTATTAAACATCAAGAGTGTTCAAGTATCTACCTTGTTTATACTGACATTTGAGAGAATGTTTACTTTTGAATAAATGATTTTTTTTTTTTTTTGGTATAGGCTAGAGGGCAGTATCACTTTCTGCATAGACTACAAGAAATTGCAGGGTAATGTAGGAAACACCTTGTTAAGAGCAAATTTTTTTGCCAGGGAAATAAAAAATTAAGTAGAATTTCAGTACAAGTTTTTGTACTTTAATGCGTACTGATTATAAGAGATACACATAAGGCTGAAAACTTGGATATTTGAAAGAAGTGACAGCATTACCAGAAACGTATTTAAAGCAAAAATGCAAACTTTAACATTTTGCAGGAAATTAATACTAAGAAACCAGAGAATTATTATTAGATTCTAAGGATATTCAACTACGTTAAAACCCTGTATGAAAGCCTCCCCTATCTAGTCTTCCCAAGATCATCAGTTCTCAAGCTGGAGTTTAAGTATGCAGGAAAACCCTCCAGCTTTTAAATTGGATGATTAGTTCAGCATTTCTGCTAAAAGCTCCTATTTTCAGCGGTGCACGGATGTTGCATAGTAGACTCAGTATGGAATCAGCACTATATTGAATTTCTGGCATTGCGTAAGTGTAGAAAAGTCTTCCCTATTGTCGTGGTTTAGCCCCAGCCAGCAACTAAGCACCA